TAGGCATTCATAATAAGCGTACAAGAATTATTGCAGTGTGTGCATAAAAGCTTTTGTTCGAACACAATAGCGTTCATTGCCTGTCTCCACTATTTCGGTTTTCGTTTTCTTTTCATTTTTGTTGCTGTGCGCACAGTGGACAAAAGTGATGCAATATTGAAATTGTTTTGTTTGAAATTGAAGGTCATTATTTGTGCCGTATTGTTCGCGTGTGTTTCTTATATATTTTTCGGTGACGAGTTTTTGTGGTGTCATATTTTATAAGAACGTAAGAAAGAGATAGATATGTATACACAAAATTACATGAACACCATAATGAAGGAGCTTAAAGTTGGAACTTCCCTTTATCTTATTAAATGGTAGACGATAATAAAGAAGACACTTTGATGCCTTCACGGACAAGAAACTAAGAAGAGTTATACCCAAACTGGATAGATCATATATGACAGTTCTATAGATCTTCTTGAAATTAATCAACAACTGATACTGATTTCGCACTTAAATGTATAACCATTAAGTTGATCCGTTCTCACTTTAGATAGTTTTGTGTAATCCAAATCCACCCAGTTTTTTATACCATTAAATATTGTCGACCAGATAGGTTTCTTAAAAACTAATTAGGAAATGTTTTATACCGTTGCGTCTGTAACATGGATAAGATAATGCGTTAGTACCTTAGAAGGTTTCTCTTGTAATCAAACAGGATCCGAATTTTGATCTTTCAAAAAACTGTTTAGTCGTTTGTACTCTTGAAAACTATTTGAGAAATATTTTATACCGTTACAACAACAACATCAAATTTTGTTCACATGACAGGTTATTCTAATAATTTGATTTTTTTATCTGGCAGGGCTGTCAAACCGTCAACGATCATTAAAACTATTTGAGAAAATGTAAATGTAAAGACACTAAGCTTTACAACAACATGAGAGTAAGATTATATTTAACTGTAATAAAGGCAATCCAAAGAAAGTGCAAAAAAGGTACATATGTTTCCTTTTCATATTGAAAATATGCTGTAAAATATATCATACAAAATACTTAACTAATTAATTGTGATAAGTAGTAATTTCTTTATTTTTGAATCGCAGTACGATTTAGATTTTAAATACAAACCCAACCATGCCAAATTAAATAAAGTCAATCCATCTTTTTTTTCTTATTAGAAAGTTAGAGAATGTTAGGTTAGTTAATTAGTTAGAAGTTAGGTTAGTTAGAAGACATACGAGCATAATTTAGGATACTGAAAGTGTAAGGGCGATTATCTCGAAACCCCATTGCGAAAGTTTACATAAAGATATGGGAAAAGTTGATAAAATTTATCGAATAAGGGTAAACTACAAGCTTGAATATTTCAGTGATACCAATTAATACAAAAAACTTCTTCTATCGTAAAAATGTTATTCAAAATACTCTTTAATGTACGATTTTTTTTGTTTAATCAACTACTTTCGAAAGTAAACATTTAAGGTTTCTAATATCTTGCAATTTATGAAAAAACTTACACTTCTTCAACCGTATTACCGGTCATTACCCCCATATAAGAAATAAAAGTCTCAAAAAGCCTTATCTCTAAGAAAACCACTTGAAAAATAATTACTTAACCAGGTTAAGTAGCTTTTCGAGTTCTCTTTCTTTTCAATGCTTGCACGTACTGTCAATGTGGGTCTCCTTTTAACCATAAACAATTTAAAAACAATACAATTTTTCGAGTCCTAGTTAGACCCAACCTTCTACAATTCCATATTTGATATTTGAACATCAACATTGTTTTGAAATGTTTTTCAAAATTGATCTTATTTGTCATTTTGTAAAAATGCACTTGAAAATAACCTCGTTTAACTGTTGAAAACTAAAGCGAGTTCGTGTGGTTATTCTGCATGTAATTAATTTTTTAGCGACTGATATGACGGGGTCTTGCCTGAATTATGAAATGATAAAAAATTTTAAAAACAGAGTTTACGATATAAATCTTAAAATATATATTAATATTAACATATTTAAATGTGAACTCACTGTTGAATAATGTATGGATTAACACAAGCGGGTGTTTGAGCATGTAAGCACTCGTTTGTGGGGAAGCATGTCGAAACCATAATTATGCTTTACATGGTTCATTGGGTTACCTCGAAAAAAGGTTACTAAGCAAGCGCAAGCGTATTGAAATGCTAACGACATATGTACATATGTATAATCAAAGGAAATTCGGAAATCATGAAGAAAAACAAAAGCTGATGAAAACAACAATGGAAGCAACTAATGAAAACCAACAAAAAATTATGTATGAGTGCATATGAAATTAGATATATGAGTATATATGTATGTATATATTATTTATATATTTGTACTCGTACTTAGCGAGAGTGGAAGTGTGCAGCAATGCATTTCGTATATATATATATTTATATATCTTTTATAATAGATGATGTACATATGTATGTGTATATAAAAGTATATGGAAGTATGTAAGCGAATGTGGACCAAGTGCGCGGAGCTGGTCTATACCAACGACCGAGCAACGCGCCAGCCGATCGATTGAAGAGCCAACCAACCAAGTAACCACGTGATACTATTGTTTTGAGTCCAACTTTGCCGCTGTAACGTTCACTTTTTAACGGAGAGTTTACCAAATAGTAATATACACAGGCCTACAAATAAATTTATTCATATACATACATATTTGTTGTTGTCGAACAACGGTGATTTCGATCGAATTGAAGGTGCGAGAGTTTGTATGCGAAAATAGGTTGAAATACGAATTAGGGTTGACGCAGACAAACGTGGAAGTGAGTATACAAAACAATTAAAAATCCGCACGAAAAAGACATTAAAAAGCCGCAATATGCAGATCGATAACGCTGGCGTTGCCAACTATTGTTTATTTTTATAGAAAACGAGAGTTCTTGGTGATTTGCATACGCGTGTGAAATTATGCGAAAGAGCGCATAAAAAGCGCAAAAATAACAAACACAACACAACAAATTTACAACAAAAACCAAAATATGCAAAGTTATACGAAATTATGCAAATTCGTTGATTCATATATACTATATACTAAGGTAAGTATGTATCGCATTGAATATTGAAGGCGAAGAAGCGAATCAACCGTTTCACGCCTCTGCCAATTTTTAATGGAATTTTCTGTGTTTTACCGTTATTTAAGTAGCGCTTGCTAAATTCAGCAGCTAATAAATTAAAATGGTTGTTGGTATTTTGTCAAAATTTATGGCTCAAATTTAAGCGTTGAAGAGTACGTACTTGTATATGCCGGTAAAGGCAACAAATAAAATATGAAATAATAAATCAGCTTAAGTTAAGCAGCGAATGAAGAAATAAAAACAAAACAAGGAAAAACTTTAATTTCGGTTGCACTGAAGCTAGAATATCCTTCACACATCTGAGTAAACACATATTATTAGAAGACTAATAGATTATATTAGATTGAATTTTGAAATTGAAGGATACATTTTAACGTCGGATCAAGCTTCGTAATGTTAGATGGTTGAAAGGAATTTTGGATTTGCGAAACCCTATAAAAGAGTATGCCGAGTGAGCTCGTACTCGACAAAAAATAACAACGAATTGATAATTCTCGGTGGAGTTTAAAGCTGTGCAAATGTAATACATCCGAATTTTCTCAGCCTTGGCTAATTGCCAATGGGTGAAATTTTGCTTCATCATTTCACTTCAGAGTCTAAGCGACAGACATCCAAGTGAACTGCAGACTTTGAGCCGAAACCAAAACGGGAAAATCAAAAGTAAGCTTGCAAAGTTCTGACGTCTATATTTTGGGAATTTTCAACGAATATCCAAAAGAGACAACCATTACCAATGACTATTACATAATATTATCAGAATGTTTAAAGAATGAAATCGCTGACAAATGATTTAAAGAAAAATAAAGTTCTCCCTTATCAAAATATTATCATAAATCAATAAAAGCGATGAAAAGCTTGACCATATTCTTGGAATCTTGCACCCAGAAATCTTTTACTGTAGCCAAAGTTTTATGGTCCGTACTTAAAAAACAACACGATAAAATACCATATACATAGGTGGAGCGAAATAAAAACAATTGATAGCAAGAAAGGGCAAAGAAAGCAAGTAAAAAATGTAGAGTTATTTGCGTGGCACAATTTACTTAATTTTGGTTAGTCTTTACTTGAAACTAACGCAACCTAATATATGTTTTGACTTCTCTTAAGAAAAGTTGAAATATTAATCTGACATTTTTAAAATTCAAAGGAATGAAGGAATAAAAGAGTTCAGGTCATGTCTGTTAGAGGTATCGCGATCTTTAAGAAGACATCCAGAATTTAGGGGAATATAATATCATAATAAGTAGGAATGTATAAGGGCCAACTTGCATGTAACCTTAAATTTGTTACAGTTAAATTGAGTTAAAAAACAGATTGGGGTTCTTCGTTGGTGTTCTTTATAAGCCATTATATTTAAAGAATAAATTGTGTGCCATTATTTTTACTTGTTAAAATCCATAAACAAATTTGAGAGAGTTTATCAGGTGATTTCACATTCATTTAAGCTAATGACGTATTATTGTTGTTGCATAAACTCAAGTTTTAGGTTTTAAGAGTTTAAGCAATGCTGATGGTAATTGTATATATTTTCCAACAATAAACGCAACTTCTAAGTAGATGACCTTATTATAGTGCCGAGCAGAGGCGTATTTTCACAAAAACAAAAACAAAAGTTATATTTAACCCTTATGTTAGTAACCGGGTCTGTGTTTAGAAAAATTTTTTTTTAATAAAATAAACAAAATAAAAATTATACTCAGATACCCGGTACCCGGTACCCGGTTGCTAAAAGATGTCGATAAAGTTGGTTACTAACATAAGGGTTAAGGTAAATTAAAAGAAAAATTGTGTAATAAATCTACACCAAAATATAAACTCAGGCAACTTAAGTATGAATTTCTTTGGGAATTTTTGATAATAGCAAGTAAAAAACATTAAAAATAAAAATATATTGAAACAAACCTTTTAAACGTTATTGTTTTCGTCGTAAATAATTCGTAATTGCTTTTTCAAAACTCTGATTTTATGGTAATTGATTGGCCACAAATTAGATTTGTCGTTAAGTTTTGTTGTTGATTTCGAATTTGTTGATATTAAACACGCACACATCAACACTTATAAAAGTCACATTTCAAATTTAAAAATTTCGTATGATTTTTTAGCACTCAATATTGTATTTTAGTAAAAAATATAATTCGATGGCACAAACATTAGTACGTTTACGGCTGATTAAATAAAAAAAGAAGTTTAGTAATATTTTTTCGAAAATTAAAATTGTTTTCAGTAGTTTTAATTTTTTTGTATATTTTTTTCCGTTGTAGTAGTATTAAAAATCGATTTTAACTTTCAATATTTCGCACACTTTTTTACATAGTTTGCAGATATTTCTGGTCTAAATATTTATGTACGAGTATGTACTCTTATGTGCATTAAAAAGCACCTTCGCATAAGATTTGCTTCACTTCTTCCTGAAATAACACATTTTCAAACTAATAAATTTTTAAAACATTTATGTATGTATTTAAAGCACTTTTCGAATTATTTTCGATTTTTGGGGTTTTCGCATTTTTTGCATATTGGAATATTTGAGTATTTTAATTCTAAAATTTTTACATTTTTAAAAATGTGAAATTCATGTATTTATTTAGCATACGGAAAATGTATGTGTGTGTGTGTGCGCAATTTGCGCAGCAGTGTCTTGAGCGAATTTGGAAAACATGCCAAGAAAATTATTTATCTATTTTATTAATAGTCTTGAAATCGCCTGCGCTTACTACAAATGTGTTTATATAGAATTTGACATTAGCAAGATATTAGTCTAAGTATTGACAGCGAGCAATTTTCGAAATGTTCGAAAAATATTTTGCGCTAAATTCGGCAATGCCAACTTTGCCACACTCATTTGTTGCGAAAATTAACACATTTTTGTTGCTTTTCTTGCAGAATTATTTCATATGACAAGTTAAAACCATTCTTCCAAAAAAAAAAGCGTTTACTAGGAAATCATTTTACTGACACTTGGAACATAAAAAAAAATTTAAAAAAGTTATCAAAACGGAAACATATGCATATGTACAAACATACTTGTATGTATGTATAAACAGCATTTGCGCTTTAAATGCTTTCAAAACCACTGCACACACATATACACTCTGCTCGAAAAGCGAAACAGCAGAATTAAGACTGCGCAAGTGAACCCTGGATTTGTATTTATTTTATAATAATTTTTATTATGTTTTTTATTTTTAATAAATTTCCTTAGTTATGCGAGAATGTGGGGCGTGGAAATCAGCAGACGAACTTAAAACGTTTTATTAACACACACATAATCCGACTTACTTCACATGTGTGTGTGTGTATGTGTGTTCTAAGTTTAAGCCTTTTGTTTTTAACTTTCATTGCTTGCTAAAATTAAATGGGAAGTGTATTTTGCATTTAAGATTTTGCATACATTATTTTACTTATTTCAAGTAAATTTTGTACTGTTAAGAGTCACGTTCAACGAGAACGTATTGTCGTAACATACTGTATTTATTTGAGGTTTTGTTTTGCGATTATTGAGTTTTACATTTTATTATTTGTTGTAACGATATTTTTTTAAATAAGTTATAAGTTTGAAATAAAATATGTTATAAATGTTGTATTAATTCTAATTATTTCTAATTGTATAGTGAATTGCTATAAATAATTTCTAAACATTAAAAATTCAATAAAATATTTTTTAACATAACATAATTTTTAATTAAATTAAAAATAAAATAATTAAAAACAATTTAAAAACAATTTAAAAATATATATATACAAGTTTTTAATGACTTTTTTCATAATATGTAAATACACATTATTGATTATATTTCTATTTAAAAAAAATGTTGTATGTAAATATGTTTTTACTTTATTTTAGGAACATAAATTCCTTTTATTAGTTTGAAATAAGAATTTAATAGTTTTTTCACTAGATCGAAGAGATATATATTTATTTCATAAACATATATGGTTTTTTAATTTAAAAAAAGTAATCAAAAAACAAAGTATTAAAAAATTTAACTGATTTTTAGTCAGTAGTTAATTTGTTTTATCACTTAATTTTATTAAAAAATTTATTTAATAAATTTAGAGAGAAAATATATTTTATTTTATTTCCTAAATAAATTTTTTATTGAATTTGAATAAAAAAGTATTTCATTCTAGTAAAATTTATAAATAAACCAAATAAACCAAATTAAAGTAATATTTTGAATATTTAAATACATTTTAGTTATGTTTAACGGAAAATAAGTATTTTTGTTTACAATTCTTAATAAATTTTTATTCAATTAATTTAAAAAGCCTATTTTGTTTTTGTTTTTAATATAAATAAAGACACTTTTTATTGATATAGTAAAAAAATCGTTTAAGAAATTGAAATAAATATATATATTAGGGTGGGTCAAAAAAAACTTACATTGTTTTTTTCGCTTGGTACACTAAAAAATACGTTCTTAGACCCCACTAAGAAAGCCTCTACAGGTATGAGCTCTTAACTGTAACTCCATCTGCAAATTTTCAAATATTTTTGACCATTTTTTGTAGAGCAGTAAACTTCCTAGAAAACTACGAGTTTTCTGATTTAAAATGTTTTTTTTCATATAGGTTTAAAATTTATAAGAAAAAAAATTGCCCTAAATAATCAAACTTCAACCGTTAATATCTTAACAGTTAGGTTTACGAAAAATCGTAATAAACCTTTTTTTAAAGGGCGTTTAAGTTCCTACAAAATCTATGGAACGAGATATTTTTTCAAACAGTAAAAAGCAAGATTTGAATTTTTCCATCTGATAATAAGGAAAGAATTAGAAAACTGTAAGGCGGAAGACCTTCTCATTACACTTAAGAGTTTATATCGGGATAGATTTCTTAGAATTTCTAAGAAGCTATTTTTCAGAGTATCAAGCTAAAAAAAAGCTTGTTGACCCACCATAACATGTATATAAATATATCATGAACAATTAGTAGTAGAAAATTTTGATTTTTAAATATTATTAAATAGTTGTTCAGTTTTAAGAATATAATTGTCTGAAGTACAATATTTTTAAAACAGATGTTATGTTAAATTTCTTAATATTATTTGTAATTTTTTAGGGTGATAATTGATGCATTCAAATTAAATAAAAATAATGTTTGCTGAGAAATTAATTTTATTTGCAATAAGATCTGCAATTTTAATTTAATCACAAAATTGCATTTTTCTTTGTATTTTTTGAAAAATTGTAGCCGAAAGAAAAATGAAAATAAAAAAAATATAATGTTAACAGCTTTGATATTAAACAATAATAATGGTGTTCAGATTATTATTTTTATTGTAATCAACTAATTTACTGTTATTGGATTTTATTTACACACATTCACTTTATTTTTTTTTTACTTCTGTTCGAACTCGAAAAGAGTTTTTTATTTTCAATTGCAATTTCATATAAAATATATTATATAAATAGTATATTTTTTTACCATAATTTTGTATTTCTACTAGGAATGACCAGTTTAATATTGAAGATTTTTAGACAAGATTAAATTTATTAACACTTTTAAGTTTATATAAATAAAATATTTTTATTCTTTTTTGAAAATTTTCTTTATTTTACATTTAATTTGTATTTGGAAATTATGTTTTTAAGTTTATCATTATATTTATATTTCAAAATAATTTGTATGTACACTTAATTAGAAAATACAATATAAATAAAAAAGTAAAACATTTATATGACATATTATGTATTTATTCATTATGGTATATTTTCTTATTTCGTGCAATATAATAGCAGTAAATACAGAAGAGGTTGACCTCAAAATTGATGTTGACTTAAAAGATATGCTGACATTATAAAAATATATATACATCCACAAAAACTTCAAATTAGGAAAGAAAAATAATTTCCACAATTCTTAAGGCTTGTACTATAATTTATTTTATTATATTATTTAATGCAATATTTTAATTTCTTGTGAATTTCAAAACTTTTTTCTTCTTCTATTTATTTTAGAATTTGCCTATAGGTGTTGGCATGTTGTCTCCTTTTTACAGTTGAAACTAATAATAAATTAACACATCCGGGGCTATTCGAACTTGCACAGCAAATTAAATGAAGAAAAAAAATGAAATTTAAGTAAGCTCTAGATTTCAGCTGAATAAATATATATAGTAAATAGAAACTGGCACGGGTTGTTGATAGAATATGTATTTGTGCTAACACAATACGAAAAAAAACCTAACACAAAAAAAAGTAATAATCATACCAAAAAGAAAATGCAAACACACCCAGACTGTGGAAATGTTTGGTGAATCACCACCACTTTTTTATTTTTATTTTTTTTTTTTTTTGAATTTAGCTAGTATTCTGAATTTGATCAGCATTTCAGAAATTTTTACATAATATCAACGTATCAGGTACGTTCTAAAATTGATAAGAAGTATAGCAACCGGTTCTCATTCGCTGACCAATTTTGGGTGCAGAGTTTTTTTTAAATTAAATTAATATTAATATCAGATTCCAATTATTATATTTGTTCTGGAAAAACTTGCATTTCACCATGTCTGTGTTCTTTTCACATTACACCTAAGGGTTATGCGGGCCCTTAAGGCCCTTGACGATAAGGATACAATATCTTGAAATGTTACATCTTTACAACCTAAGGAGAGGTTATAATTCACAATTTCCAATCGAAACATTGGCACGCAACTGTAACTTCCGCAGCTAATTTTTGATAATTATTGTCGATTTAAATTAATTTTTATTCATAAAATAGAGCACATTGCTACAATATCACATAGTGATGATTTAAACAAATTTTTTGACTACAATAAAAAATTCTGAGTAACTGCATTAGATAGCACTCCCAAATCATTATGAAAAGAACACACCAATTTGTTCTTATTTTTTTATCTTGGCAGTGTTGGCAAAAGCCAAAAAAAATTTCAAATATTACAAAAAATTATATATTAATAAAAATTTTAAAAATAAGTTAATCAGTAAATAATTATTAAGAAAATTGTGATTGTGCCGTAAACGCTCTAAATTTATTAGCAAGTAGCTCCTATCGAGAACCAAAGTTGTTTTACTCTACATATTTATTTTTCATACTTATTTTTATCTTATCCGATATTTTTCTGGAGACCACATATAACGAATTTGTTATGTAAAATATTTATTAAAATTATGATTGTTTTAGTATAATTCTTATTCTAATCCATAATATTATTATTTTCATTACTATTATTATTATTGTTATTATTATCATTACTAAAATATTAGTCCCATTATATTCATGACATACTTGTTTGTCCAAATTTTAATTACTTATATATCTGGGCATGTTAGTTTATAAACTTTTTATTTGTAAATTATTTCCATTTTTTTTGTTAACTTTTATTTTTACTCACACTTTTCTCACAAACCGTGCAATTAGCATATAATTGTCGCATGATATATATTTTTTAAGTAGCACAACATTTTTAAAATTTGCAAACGAAAATAATGAAGAGTTTTTTTTTTTAATTTTTGTGCAAGCAATGCTAGTATTTTGAGCAAAAAAAAAACAAATGGAAAATTTAAATGACCGCCTGTCTCGTTAAGCACTGAAATTCACGGTTCTTTGAGAAGCTATTGACATTCGTTAAGTGACTTTACATTTTTTAATTGAACGAAAAGGCGCTAATTAAAACTTTTTTCTGCAATTTTTTTTAGATTTTATATTTAATTCTGTTTTTACTTAATATATTTAATAGTTCATATTTTTCAAAAATTTTGTATTGATTTTTTTTTAAATTTTATTGTAAGTTTTCAAAACTTTTTTGTTGTTTATTTTCAATTATTACTTTATAAATTAAACTTTTAAATTTTTTGCATATTTTTCTGTATTTTTTTGTTATTATATTTTTTTTACATTTTTTCGTTGTTTTTTTTTTAAGTATTTGTTACAGCACTCCGGGCACACTTCTTGGCTTCACATATTTGCCATAATTTTTGGTTCGTTTTCTTAATTGTTGTTTTTGTATTAATTTAACTGCACCCACTTTGAATTTATTGTTATTGCCTTAACGGTAACGGCATCTTTGAGCACACAATGCACCGAAAAAATGTCGCCACTAACACGAAAATCGGCGCACACGTAAGCCGAAAAGGCAGGGACATGCACGAAATATTTGCAGAGCATTTAAAAAATAGAATTTAAATTATTATATTTATTTCACTATTATGGCCGGTATACCAACAACAAGAGAAAAATTAAAAAAAAAAATAATAATAATAACACCAACGCTCGCTGTGAACGCATTAACGGCGTTCGTGTTGTTGTTGTGGAAATTCAGACACTCGGCTTACTTTTTTCTCTAAATCTTTCTAACATTTACACTTTTTCAACTCGACGCAAATTTCGTTGATTTTGTCGCATTTAATATTAATATTTTTCGTTCTGTCTGATTAATGCACGCTCGTTGGTTTGCTTGTTGCAACAGCACGTTTCGCTGGCCGGTGAATTTTTTTGCGTTCACGTTAGTTCGGCGCAAATGAAAAACTTGAACTGATCGGAAATTGAGGCGCTACCGTCTCAGCAAGCCAATACAGTAGAGACCAGGCACACTTAGCGACGGTGACGGCGACCACTCAAACACACACACGAGAATAACAGGTCGTCAGCGTAGCAAAATCAACAGAAGAAACACGAAAAGCGATCGAGGTGGAAGCAGTTGGCTTCGGCGGTAGCGCCGACTACTGCAAATATCTGTGTCGGTAATAGCAGTTCGATCGCTTGAGGCGACAACGCATTGGCGCAGACGAAGTTAACAACGCCGCGCAGCGATCACCTCCATTTCGCGAATAAACAACGCGCTGAAGTGAGCGACGCAGACGTTGGGGAGAGCAACGCGTCGCAGCTTTGATAAGTGAAGTGGCAAAGGTGTAAATGTTTCGGCGAAGAAACCACAAGAGAGATATGCGTACAATTCGCCCGCTGCTTAAGACAACCACCGGTCGACCGCAGACGTTGGAGAGCCATCAGCTAAGTGCTATCGCAGAGCATGTGCATGTATGGCATACACTGCATGTGCTTTGTCTAACAAAAATCGATCTCATCTCTGTAGGCCGTGGTGATGACCACTACGCGAGACGTACAGCTGTTGTGAGAGCGCACAGAATATTGGTCAATCGCATTGCCGAAAACCACATTTTATTTGCAATTTGCTAAGTGTAAACCAAATTATTATTTATTTTATTAGCACAACGCGTCAGTGTGTCATCGTTCATAGCACAAGCACCTCCGTTGCGAGTATCGAAGATCGTTTGCGCTCTCATTGCAAATTCAGCGCGGTGTCGTGTATTGCAGTTACAGTTGCAGCACAAAATATATTTGGAGGTATGTATGTGGTCAAGCTTAAATCGCTTTCGGACACAGTTTTGTGGGGCGCTACATTTATATGGTCATTCGTGCATTCAAGGAAGTGCATTCGGATGTGCACGAAGTCAGGTATTTTCTAGACGGCACAGTGGGCTGGGTAGCTAGAAAAAATTTTCTAAATATTTATTTAACTACTGCGTTCAACCAGAGCTGTTTATTATATACATACCATATCATATCTGGCAACTCAAGTATATTTATATATAATATATTTAGAAATATTATCGAGAAAACCAAAAACTCGAAGTCACTTCAGCAATGCTGGTAACAGCTTAAATAAATGTCAATATGGGTCGCAAAGGACTTTTAAAAGGATTAGGGTCACAGACCTGTCCGTCCTTTCGATGATATCTAGATTAGATTACGGTATAAAAGATGTATGTTTTTAAAAAATTCTAGCCAAATAAATGTGGGTGTAAGGAAATCGGAATTACTTTTCGGAAAAATCTTTAAAATGTCATCGAATTATTTGTTTAACTTTCGAGATGGCAAAGTTGAGCTCTTTAAATATAAATTTACCAGCTTTTTTTAGCAAAATCTCCTTTGTTTTTTTTACAGATTAAGAAACTTTTTACTTGCTTCTAAACGATTCATGTATTTATGAAAGTTTTTTTCTTAACTGGGTGTTTGGATATTGCATGCAAAAGGTATAACTTTAGATTCTGCATAAGTTAGATATTGGACTCAGAACTTATCCGTTGGTAGTCAACGATTTAAGGTATTTATTAGTACTGAACCAAAGGGCTCATGTTAGCGACTCTATTAAAAAAATTAAAACTAAATTAAAATTTTGGTCCCATATTTAAATGTTTAGATAGGTTGTTAATCCAAAAAAAAACCCAATTAAGAATAGCCAAGATTGTCTGTTGCAAATTTTCACCAAACCACACCACAATTCTCGCGTCATATGAGTCTGTACCGACACCCGAGTAAAACCAAAAACAGAGTACAACAAAGCGCAACAGACAATACAACTTTTTAAGCGCCAATTTTGTGCGCCGTTGCGTTCCGATTTCGAAAAGCTACAAATTAACTATTGCATTAAAAGCGAGCGCTAGAAAAAACCAACAACAAGGAAAACAAAAACACATCGAGCTACCGAATTGCGTTAGCAGTAAGTTAAAAAAGTTAGTTTTCTAGCCAAATCGGCTAGCGCTCCTGGGATCTCTCAATATGCGCTCGCTCCCTCTCGCCATTGACTCGCGGCGAGCGCTTTACAATATTATGCTCATGATTTAATTAAAGTCTTAATCATGTGTGAATTAAAAACTTGTTTTCAACTTACACTCAACAATGATGATGACAGCGATGACGCTTAACGCTCGAGTGGACATCACATACGAACATATGGATTTATACAGTTACAACATATTGAGCATATGTTTATGTATGTATGTATGAAATGTTTAGGCTGCTGTTTGTGTCCTAATACATATGTTGATTAATTCAATCAGCTGTGGCTTGACAACATAATAAACAATAAAATATGAACACTCTTTGATCACTTCAAACGCTCTTAGGCGCTCTCGAACCGAAACTAAAAAACCGAACATTGTGTGATTCATAAATTATTAGAGTCTAAATTTTTAGACAATTCGAAGCTCTCCGGAGAACGCTCAGCTGAAATTTATAGCGTTGGCAGCGCTGTTTCTCGACTGCGCTGCCGTACGCGTCACTTCGGCTGATTGGCTTGCGCGCCTGCGCTTTGAACTTGTTTACATTTTGTGCACGTTTCGACTTTATGACGCCGGGAGGGGCACGCTTAGTCAATGCACTTTGCCTATGCAGATTGTTTTACCAATTATAATGGTTATTAATAGACAGCGAGAACTCAAACAAATAGAAAACCAACGCAGAATTTTGATTTGCACTTTCGAGCTTTGCTTGCGTTTTTACTTCGTATGTCATTTGATTTAATTTTTTTAACCGATTTCTCGTTGTGCATGCTTATACTGCACAGACTGCAGATTTTAGCAAGAAAATATCAATGCACTCTTGGCTATAGTCAAGCATTCATTATATTGTTGGAACCATGTTTGGAGAACCTCAGAGCTTGAAGAATATCGAGTATCGTGTTTTTGGGAGACTCATATTTTGAAAATAGATTGAGAGACCCTCATTTATAAATGACTTACAAGTAGAATGATTCTAAGTCCAAAGTTCAAATCATTTATCAGACATTGATTCTGTTGATAAATATAAATCGAATCGACCCGAAAATATTTCTTTGAGGGCTTAGTAGAGCTTCAAGAAAGCTCTTAATACATGTTAGTACATATATATTTGGAACTTATTACTCACTATTACCACTTATATGATATTAACAGTACTTGGAAGGATTGTTGCTTGATGTTATTTGAAGTCTGATATTGTAGTTGTGATAAACCAAATTTTTCGAGAACTTAAAAATTATAACGAGTCATGACAATATAGGCTTGGGTAAAACGGGTCCAATGAATCTGCCCATCCCTGTGGTATTATTTCAATATTATTAGAAAATATATATAATAAGTATTATTAGAAAATAGTATTGGAAAATATTACCACAAATATTGCCTACATTTTGGCGCATTGACCTAACCGCATGGTAGTGAGAATCGACGACTATTATGAAACATTGAGGAACCACTTTTTATATAAAACTCATATTAAATCCGCAAAATCCTCAAAAAAAAGTAGCAAAAAAGTTTAAATTCCAGCAACAGTCATCTTGAAGCTTGCATCAACTTTGTAAACTACATAACTGCAGTCAAAACTCATTTAACTGTGCAATCATAAGCATAAAAATGTGTAAAGAAATACTGTACAATCCAATTGTATGTAATTAGCCATTTTCTGCAATTCATTCTTTCACTGGCGTATGGAGTAGGAAATGACAAAATGTAATGATTAATGACACACCCATTTTTGCTATACACTTAATGTCAATCTGCGCAAAAACAAAAATTTATGTGCGTAACGTAAATTGCAATTTTATTTTTCATAAGCAAAAATTAAGTGTCTGGTGATCAAGTATACATATTAGGGTGGGTCGCATTTGTTTGTGGATAATATTTTATATTATAATATAGCTACGACAGCAATGTTATTATTCAAACAAATTTAAAACCAATTTTTAGCTCACGTGAGAACTTTCTTATTACACAAAATATTTTAATTGCCATGTAGGCAATAGAAATAAAAAGTGAGATTATGTGCAACTTACCACTGATATGTGATCTACAGTTTGCTGTGATAGATAATCGCAGAGTATTCTTGCAGAATATTGAAATAGTAAAATTAAAAACAAAAAAAATTCTGCTATTATTAATAAATAATATGTTGAAAAAGTAAGTTTAAGTTAACAAAGATATATTATTGATTATTAATAATGCATATTATACTGCAGAAATAATGATGTGAAAGTCGAAGCAAATTAAAATAAATAATTTGAATACATAAATGTGTATACAATTTGAAAAAAAAAAAAAACATTTTTTTCACCCTAATAAACATCCACCGCCGTAGCACATAAAAACCTATCATTTTATTTAACAACTGTGTAGGTATTAAAAATGGCATGCCAGAGATCGCAAAAGGTTACATACTCACTTACTATGTACAGACATACGAGTTTATCGTTTGTGCCTACGCAAAAATTCGCTAAGGTCACTCACTTGAATCGCAATAATCGCATATGCTTTTAGGTTACTTTTTTTGCAAACCAAAAGCACGCGCATGCGCAAAGTGAATAACATATACTTTTAAATATGTATGTATAAAGAACCATTCGTGTGCTTCCACTGCATTCTTAAGTTTATAAAGCAATTAGTCATGATTACGTATTTATAATTAAAATTGAAAACTTCGCCTGCCTTCATTCAAAATGAAGCAAAACTATATTTAAGGACTAATCACATATTTCATCGAACACTTAGTTATCTTCCAGAAATCTATCGATTATTAATCGACGCGAACTGGATTCCTAGTGGGGCTAAATGGTGTTGGTGAGATATAATTAGTCGCCACTAAAACTAGATACTTTCAGAGAGAAATGTCGTTTATTAATCGATTATTAAAATGGGTTAGCAAGGGCTCAAAATGTAATTGGAAAAAAATTATTTCTTACTTGTGAACTAGTAAAACTATTAACCATTAAACTAAGAATTATGAAATAGGCAAAATGGAAGTCAAGCAGTTCGATAGTGGTTCTGTCGAGAAGATCAGGGAATATTCTCCGAAAAAACATTTTAAAGGCATTCATCTTTTTTATGAACTGGCATACTTAGTCTCAGACCCTTGATATACAGATATCTATTGGTAAATTTCTGAGTATACTATATTTCTGCTATAAATAATGCTCTTCTAAAACCCATCAGCCCATTGAAGCCGGCTTAAAACACACTGAGCTCAATATAAGGCCCCTAATATCAAGACGCGCACCAAAAATAATAAGAAATTCTCGTCCACGCATCTAAAAACAATTATATGGATCACTATTTGTCTTCCACATTGTCCCAACAGCGTTAATGACTCGTTCCTTTACGAAAACAGAGTTGTTGAGGTCAACACCTGTGGTTAATGATGATAAGCTTTCGTGTATTTTCGATTATATGAGTTGATATAAAACAAACGACCATTTCTACCATATATACCACGTATTTTCGGCATGAACTATTTGAGGTTATGACTATCTTTAGCCGCAATAATAAAGATTCATAGCACAGATCATTCGATTTGAACTTGCCCAACATTTTGGTAGTAAATTTATTTTTGGTTTTTGTAACATAAACAGTGTCTTTATTAAAAATCATCTAAATTGATATGACGTAACCTTTAGATTAGGTCCATGATACCCTAGAAACCAGTATATCAGTATGTATGTATTTGAGGTAGTATATTATAGTCCACCAAAAGTTAAAAATTAGTTATAATCAGCTGAGGTTGTAATTTAAAAAGATTTAATCAGCAAGTTGTAA